CATCACCGTAGTTTATGGTCGACTGGCGGGAAAGGGAGGGGGGAGAAGGTAGAGGGACGATCAAACGATGGATGGCGAGCTGTCAGGGAGGCGAGGGGGGGGGGCAGTGACGAAAGGGAGAGGGAGGGGGAGAAAAATCGCCCCTCCCCCAGGATACAGCCCTTGATCCGCCTATTACATATACACGAATATTCGAAAAAAAAAGAAAAAAATTGAAAAATTTCAAATTTAAAGCCGAAACTTCCTCCGTATTCATTCTCTATGAGAAGGGGAAGCAACTGGGAAGCAGTTTAAGTGGTAGTTGTTCATATCAACAGCAATCAATCGCTGGCAAAGGGTGTCGATAGATCCCTTTTTCGAGGTATATCACTAAGCTGATAGCTGGCAATAGCTGTCGTGTTAACAAAAAAAAAAAAAAAGAAATATAATTGACCAGCTCGCGCATCGACCACCAGTGCGAAGATGCGTTTTTGCAAAGTTCCCCGCAGGTTTTTATCGCTAACGGTACTATTTTTTCGGCAAATGCTTCTAGCTACAAGAATTAAGACTGGCCACCACGACTGTAAGAAAACGCCCCATCAAAATTTCAGTCTTCTAAAACTTTTTAGGTTCCCGAGTTAGCAAATTTATTCGCAAAAACTCTCACGAGGCCGCATGTTTAAACCACGTGGGCAAAAGTGTTCACTTCGGGGATAGGTGCCTGTACATGCATGTAGATTAAGTTCCCAAAGTTTCAGTCTTGTAGCTTTTGTAGGTCTCGAGACGAAAAATCGGTACAGACGAACACACGCACACACACACACACACACACAGATAACCCCTCGTCAATATGCGTTTTTGCATAGCATAGATGCAATAAATACATAAAAAAAACAAAAAATATAGCTTCATGAACACAACATTCGGCGCTTTTTATCAGTAGCAGTAACAGCAGTAGCAGCAGCAGCAGTAGCAGCAGCAGCAGAAGCAGCAACAGTAGCAGTAGCAGCAGCAGCAGCAGTAGCAACAGTAGCACCAGCAGTAGCAGCAGTGTCAGCAGCAGCAGTAGCAGCAGCAGCAGTTTGGTTTATTTTGAAACAAATTAAAGTGAGACAAACCTTTCCAGCAGTGACATTTCTCAATGTTTCAATCAGTTTGTTTCGGACTTGCTCATTTGGTGTTTTATCGATCATATCACAACAACTACGTACCTGAAATTCCTTCTTTGTTCGCGGCTAAACAGCACAAATATCAAAGATTTAAAAAAATACAAAAAAAAAACTTAGAATCTAATCAATAATAAAGTTTAATAAGCTCACCCAAAACTCCGTGTTTTTTATGCGTTTTTTGGCATCTATGCAATGCAGAAACACATATTGTCGAGGGGTTATCTGTGTGTGTGTCTGTGTGCGTATGTGTGTGTATCTATGTGTGTTTCTGTGTGTCTGTGTGTGTCTATATATATGTGTCTATATATGTGTGTATCTATGTGTGTCCATGTGTGTGTGTATGTGTGTCTATGTGTGTGTCTATGTATTCGTCTGTATCGATTCTTGATCTCGAGACCTACAAAAGCTACAAGACTGGAACTTTAGGAAATTAATTTACATGCATGTATGGACCTAGTACCTCCAAAATGGACACTCTTGTCCACGTGGTTCTCACGTACAAACCAGTGAAAGTTTTCTGCGGGTAAGCTGCTAACTCGGTAGCCTGAAAAGCTAGAAAGTTGGAATTTTAAGGGGGTATTCCCTGCCCATGTACAGTCAAATGATTTCAAAATTAGCCCCCAGGTGTACATGGTTCCCACATACGGACCGTGAAAAATTTTTTCGGGTAAGTTGCTAACTCAAGAATCAGAAAAGCTAGAAAGCTGAAATTTTAAGGGGATGTTTTCTGACAGTCTTGGAAGCTAGTATTAATTTTTTTAGCTATTATACAAAATATCGTTTGAAAAAGTCCCAAAAATTGATGGTGGGTACCATTTTGGCAATTGCTTGCTTAATGATGGAACGTTTCTTGGAAAGCATCATAATGGTATCGTTGAGCAATGTCCATTCGTTTCCTTCAAAACAAAATTTGACCATTTGCTGGACAATACGTGTATTCGATTTCATATCTGAGCCAAGTCGTGTTGATTTCTCCAAACTTGCCAATGAATCCAGTGCGGCAGCAACATTGCCGGTCTATAATATAGTGATGTGACTTCTACTTTTATTAACATACACTTTATACTTCTACTAAAATACATCATACAACTAATTTAAATTTAATTTCCATCAAATACAATTATCACAAACGTCGTACCGACGAGGTCCAATTGTGGTAATGGTAAGAAATGTATACGACTTAATGGACTGAAACATTTCTTCGCACTTCCTACCTCACTTTTTGATTCTTTTTCTTACTTCACCCCTTGTTAATATATCTTTCTATTACCGAATTAATCTTGAAAAAATCTTTAAAACTTGAAAAACTGGCTTTTGAACGAGTAGAAATTATACTTAAAAAAATAACCCCAGTTTTCAATTTACGATTTCTATAAGTCTTCAAATTTTTTCATCCTTAAGTTTTCTTAAACAAAAATTTTATTCATTAACTACTCCAAAACTAAATTTTTTTTGTGAAAGAACTTAATCGAAAACCTTCGCAATTGCAGCAGCTTTTTCTAGGGCCTCATCGGTTTGCTTCGTATAATCCACTTCCATTTTGTACAGGCGCCCATCGCCTTCCTGCAAAAAAAAAAAATGAAGATTATTTTTATATAAATTTCAAAATTTATCTTAAATTTTAATCGCATATTTTTTGATTGTATTTTAGTAATATAATCATTAAATTTTTTGGGATTTTGCAATTTTTGGGATTTTTGAAATAAAATCATTAAATTTTTCCCAAAAAAAACCCCTTTTTTGGGAGAGACAAAACGAACGTCAGGATTGCCAGCAGTGCTGACCAGACAAATGACCAAGGCAGACCAGATGGAGGCCAAGATTGCCAGTTGGGTTTTACATTGTCCATTATGGTTCGGCGGTTTCCACT